CAAGTCCAGGGTAACACAAGCCAAAGTCGTCAGTACAAAAGTTACACGATTACGTGAAGATGCACAGTAAACGAAGCAACGTAACGTACTAAATGATAATAACCATTGATCAATAATAGAGCATCGGCGTCACTATCCGTCTCGCTCACTCTAATTCATGTCGCACAGCGTCACTATCCATCTCACTCTATCACATATGACCATCTCACTTCCGCGATGTTAAAGCCAATCTTTGAGCACACAAAAGTATTATTTATCACGGCATGAGTTTTTTTTTAAACAAGCTCCTTGTGCAAAAAATAAGTTATAATATTTTTTATGGAATGAAGAGTGGCAAGTATTGAACCATTTTGAAATCATGATTATATGGGCCATCTTTTAAAATAACTTGCCCAGGGTAGTGTAGTACATTTTTAAAAAAATATGAAGTGTCAAAGCTAGCTGACATATTTTTTTTAAGCTACGACCCAATGAAACTTATTTTTTTACTAAACTCATAACGTTTATTGTTTGATTTGTGACTGCAATAAATAGCATGGTTATTTATGATGACGTTAAAAAAAATCACTCCAAAATTTGAAAATTTGTGATGACAGTACCTAAACATGTGGTCTAGGGTATCGATTTTCAACATTTTCAAAAAAATGCCTATTATCACTTAACTAAGTGACATGGATTTTTTTTTTAATTTTTACCAGAACTGATATAACCTGGCCTCTCGCCCAGTGACCGCTTGACGTTGAGTTTTGGGACACCCTGTATATATAATACAGAGGATAGAGTGAAAGAGGGAGACCCTTTTCACGAGGAGGATCGGCAAAAACTACTCTGTTTAGGAAAACTTTGTTTCAATTACATCTACCTATACATATAGTAAATAATACATTGGGTTAGACAACCAAGCATACAGGAAAAGTTGCCAAAATTTCGGAAGTTGTGTAAAGTCCACAACACACATTGTGCTACACCCTACACACACACGCATGGCGGAACGTGGTGTAATAAGATAGAATAGGTAGTAGATAACCTAACCTCCGGTTAAAAAACCGACCTCAAAAGTCATTCATCCTCTAGTTTGCCACCCTTAGAGGTGGAATATTTTCTTGAAATTTAAATGGGACCACATCTGAGGTACCTTCTTTCCTACAAAAAAAGAATCATCAAAATTGGCTCACAAATGGTGAAGTTATCGCGTAACATACATACAAAAAAAATCATAGACGAATTGAGAAACCATTCTTTTTTTGAAGTCGGTTAAAAATTTTTAAACTTTATTGTACTTTTCAGAGCGGAACTTCAACAAACGGTGACATGGATACAAACTCATTTGGAAGTCGATCCCGACGTCTCCTTGCCCAAACAAGATGTTTATGATGAATACATGTAAGTGCTTAGTTTTTCCTGTAAAGGTAGTATTTTAAAGGTATAAATTAGGTTCTAGCTTCGTATATTGTGAAATTTAAGAGAACTGGTCAATTTTACTGACAACATGTACATAGATATCAAAAATCAACACTACTTTGATTTAAAAGTAACTTTACAGGGATATTTTTTTAAGCTCATGGGAAAAAGGCGTTTACCAGTTAAATACATTTCTACTCGTACATAAAGTAGGTATATGTTTTTTCCACTCATAAATGTGTCAAACAAAAGACAATAAAAACGATATTTCATGAAAACTACAGGAAGAAAGTCTAAATTATACATTTAACGTATTAACACATTTTATAGAGTATGAAAGACCAGTGTTTCCAGTTGGAAAATCTTAAATCATTGATTTAAGATAATAAAAAGAAAAATAGAAAAAGACCGTTATGTTTGAGTACAGTCGCGTCCAAAGGTGTTAAAAACGTAAAAATCGTAACATGTATGGGTATATTACCATAGTACCATGGGCTTTTTTGTAGGCCATGACTTTTTTCACATCCCCGTCCCGGCTTGACGTCGACTTAATAGACACCTGTATAAGCTTCTTTTTTGTTAAAAATGGCTGCCGAAATAGATTGGCTGAAAAATGGCATGTAAGGGCTCTTGGAGTACCGGATAAAAATTTATGGTCAAAATTAGTTTTTCGCCATTCTCAAATATGGCCGTTATACAAGCGCTCTTTGGCGGCAGAAACAAATTTGCTCTAATCCCTTTGACAATTGGCATGTGGCGGGGTCTAGGAGTGCTTGATAATAATTTTTGGTCAACATTAGTTTTTGGCCATTTGTCAATACTACCGCTGTACCAGCGCTTTTTGTCAGCAGAAAAAATGTTCTAATCCGATTAAAATCTGCATGTCGTCAATCATAATCTGCTTAAAAAAAAAACTTTTTAGTTGTTAATAAAAACTTGCTTTGTTCGAACTGAAAACGGGCACGAAAAGATTTCTAGGATTGCTTGATAATAGTTTGCGATCAAAATATTTCTTTGCAATTTTAAAATATGGTCGCCGTTAAAGAGCTATTTTAATTTTTTAAGGGCGAAGCCTGAAGCATTCGCACACCACCATACGTACCTAGATAGGATAATGGAGGCTCTGTTACCAGTACAAAACCTCACAACTGTAAAAAATGTAAAGCATACTTTCGGATCTAGTGAAAATAAAATACTTACAGCGTTGTTGTATCTCGACCGTCTCCCAGACCTAGACTCCTTTTTCTTGGAAGCTATGCCAGACAGGTTAGAAGTATTTTAGGGAAAAAATATATATTATAATAATGCCAGACAATCACACCAATTTTCTGGTCTTAAACTAGCTAAATTACTGTACTATACGTACCAGAAGAACTCTGAGCACAATACTCAGAATACCCACACCAGAACTAACTTAAAATGTTTGTTTAATAAATTAGCTCTAGTCGGGAATCGAACCCTGAACCTCCTCATCAAGCGTCCATTTTACTAACTGCTGTGCCACCAAAGAGCACAAGCACACTCCGTAATGTAAACCGCGACCACGCGCCGCAGGCCAATCCCGACCCCGGTACAGGGCTCGTTGCTTATACTCGTAAACTTCACGTATTTGTATGAAATGATATGGTATTGAATTACTCTGAACTCGTGTTTAACCGACTTCAAAAAAAGGAGGAGGTTCTCAATTCGACTGTTTTTTTTATATGTATGTTACGCGATAGCTCCGGTATTTGTGAACCGATTTTCATAATTCTTTTTTTGTTGGTAAGAGGGTACCTCCATAGTGGTCCCATTTCATTTTGAAGAAAATCATCCACCTCTAAGGGTGGCTGATCACGCATAAACATTCATTTTTATAAAAAGCGCCTAAATTTTACTTAAGGAGCAATTATTTTAATGGTTGGTTTTCTATTTTCTTTTGCTATTCTCCAATTGAAGGCGTTTTTCTCTCAATGTACTTTGAGTAGTGAGAACCGATTTTTATTATCTCCTGTGTCAAGTCCCGGATAGTGGCGAACTAGGGAATATTGTAATAAAACTTAGCAAATAGACGTAATCCCGCGTACTTTTGAGGTCGGTTTTTTTAGTTTCTGTAATGAGATTATGTAATATATAATGTTAATTTTTTTACTTTTTTTTAACAGAGCGCATTGTATGAGCAGCAATATGAAGCCGCTGTCGACGGCGGACTTCGGCAAAGTGATGAAGCAAGTGTATCCGACCGTACGCCCACGTAGACTTGGCACCCGTGGCAATTCTAGGTAAGCCACCTAAACTTAAGTTTATTTATAATTATTAACACAAAAATCGAACACTCAGAAAAAAGTCCTTCGATCATGTCTGTAGGCTCCTAATCGACATTGTCGATCGACACTGACGATCGACAATTGTCGATCGTATCTGTAGGCACCTTAAGCCACGGAACGAACCAGCGGACCTCACGAATTTTTCTATGTGCTTGTTGTCGTGCCTTTATATTTGGTTTTTCAACGATTACCTATTAGCTTTTAAGTTTATTTGTAGGAGCAATTCGCCGAAATATTTTTGGTAAATTTTGAATCGTTTGCTTTTTCTTTTTTTCTTTCCTTTAGCGTTACAGTCGTGGTATCGTCGACTTATCTCTTAATGTTGGCGATAACAGCGATTTTTTTTTAAAGTTACATCATTATATTTATAAATAAAACATTCTGACACTTTCCTTGAATGATAAAGAGATGAATGTCCTCCTTCAGATTTTAATTTTCAAAGTTGTCTCTTTCATTGGGGTATTCGGGTAGCATATACAACTTAATATCTACAATACTGTTATTTTTTTAATATTGCAACAGCATAGGTAAGAAGTATATACCAAGTTACAAAAATAATACCACTTTAAATGTGACTGATTTTGCGGCAACACGTATCTAATCATTGTTTATTCATTTAGGTTATATTGATAAATTAAGGCTGATAGGGGGTGGGTTGGCGTATTATCAGTTTTAAAACTCTTAAATCGAAAGTTGTTTGATAAACTATCTGTGCCGAGGAGTGTAGTGCACTTATGGGCACTCGCCTTGAAAAGGTCCAAGTTATAACGTTCAGGGAACAAGTCTGCAGGCAGGGAATTACACTCCATATCCGTTCGTATCGCCTTATAAATGTGGAAGCGTAACGCTTCATGCAAATCTTTGGAATATCCACAACATAGTCTAGTCCCCCGGTGATGGGAAGGCGGAATTAAATCGTATAATTCATTCGCACACTCTCCGTGATATATCCTGTAAAATACCGATAAGCAGGCAACTTTACGGCGATGTTCAAGGCTTTGCAGCTTCGCCTCTACTGATTCCGAGTCACCTATGAGCCTCTTGGCACGCTTGTTTATTGGATCCAAGGTGGCCATTTGGTATATAGCAGAGCCATCCCACAGGTGGCAGCAGTATTCCATACACGACCGGCTAGTAGCTTGATACTGCTGAAGCAACTGTCCCGGTGTGAAGTAACGCCTCACCTTGGAAAGGATGCCAAGCTTCCTGGCTGCTTTTTAGCGATGGATTCAATGTATCTGCCGAAGTTCAGATTGGACGACAAGTCCATTCCAAGTAGCTGGAGACGGTCGGCTATCGGCATGGATATATCACGAAAAGTCGCAATCAGCTCAAAGAGACTCCGTTTTGTGGAGAATAGACACGCTTGCGTTTTGGTACATCAAATTTGACAAGATTGGCATCGCCCTAATCGGTGACTGTCTTGAGTGTCAAATTTAAACGGCTCTGTGTGTGGTATGTCTTAGACTGACGGGCGCAGTGGCAGTGCCCCTCAAATTTTTGCGATTTAAAGTTCTGATTGGCAATGCAACTGTTATGGATAGGCGTGTAGCTTGCCATAAGGCGCAGGACTTGTCCGTCCTGTCATTTGATATTATAAAATTTATAACAAAAAGACTCCGATTAATGGGGTATTAGCAATAATTCTTAACCGGATTGCTGATGTTGTTCGCGGACAGTTGGTCGCAACTTATAGCCGCTTTTTAAAATTTTGTAAAATGTTCTTGTAGAGCTGTTTAGCTTTACAATTTGTTGTTACCATTATTTTGCGTTTTTTAACCGACTTCAAAAAAAAGGACGAGGTTCTCAATTCGAGTGTATATTTTTTTGTACGTACGCATAACATTATACGATAACTATGGCATTTGTGAACCGATTTTGATGATTCTTTTTTGTTGGAAAGAGGGCGCCGCAGAAGTGGTCCCATTTAAATTTGAAGTAAATATTCCACCTCCAAGGGTAGCAAACTAGGGCATGAATGACTTTTGAGGTCGGTCTTTTTAGCACTCTGTATTGAGATTATTACTTTTCTTCGCCTTACTTTCTCAAACTCGTACCTTAAAACACAAAGTGGATTATATGTTCAAATTTTGCAAGCTGATTTCACATCACTTTTTCTTCTCATTCACGCACTGGCTTTTACATATTCTTAAAGTAATGCGTCGAAATTAACACCCTTGATAAGAAATTCAATGTAAATAGAAAGTTTTGCCACCTCCTGAATAATCACTCTTTAAACTGCCTCCGTGGCCGAACGGTTACCACGCCGGACTGCCATGCAGAGGTCTTGGGTTCGATTCCCAGGCCGGGAGAAATATGTGTATGGCCTACATTTATTTCTCTCGTGAGTTTGGGTGTAATTTGTGGTTGTCTATGTGTGTGTCCATGGCACCCGCGACACAGGGTTTCCCTAGTGCGGGGCTATGTTGAGTGTGTGCGTTATTATTATTATTATTAAAGATACGATTTTGAGAAAGTAAACATCGCTTTATTATTCTAATTATTATTATTTTATAATCAAGATTGTTATCCAATATCTTGCTGGGCGTGTTGGTCAAGCTGTAAGGACACAAGAATTTTCTTATAACTACCTATACAAACAAGCTGCAATGCCGGCCCTGTGCATGTTGATGACTAACTGTGCGTGTTGAAGACTCTTAAGAGTTTTTTCTTGAACGTGAAAGTATTTTTAAAAACAGTAGTTTTAGCAGCAGTAGAGCGCTTTGTGAAACAGGTCGCCCAGGGCTGTAATGTGAGCATTACCGCGTAAGAGTACTGGTGAAATTACAGGCACATAGGACTTGTCAACTTATGTCTCAGGGTGACGAGTGCGGTGGCAGTGCCTCTCATATCTTTGCTATTTAAAACTTTGAGTGGCACTCAATTGCTATGCATAGGCGTGTCAATTACCACCAGTCTTGTTCGTCCTGTCAAATGATATCATAAAAAACAAATTTGTTATATGTAACTTAGATGTACTAAAATAATTATGCTTAATAACTGAAAGCTTCGTATTGAATACGTTTATTTGATACTAAAGAAACTGATGATTCTAATGTGTAATGGAGCAAGCAACTTTGACTTACAAACGTATGTGCAAAAGGCATAGAATTCAATTCAAATTTTCTTTGAAATAGTGGACCCGGTTTTGTCCGTACAATATCGATCTTGATATTAATATAAAATGCGTTTTATAACATAAACATAACCATTAACGTTCGGTTTTAACAAGTCGCTTATCAAATAATGGTTTGGAACCACACTATGTCTACGCAATCTTGTAATAAACACGTGATAGATTATTATAACATGGCCACTTTAAAGAGAGCTCTGACGTTTCGTTCGTAATCCAATGGGTTCGTAATACAATCTTTTAAACACAGGTAATTCACAACATTGACGTTATCTTTACGATTACTTGAGTGAAATTTGTAATATTACTATTTGTGTTTATTTCACTTACAGGGTTACAAAAATGTTGACCTGATGATAAAAAATAAAATCCAACATATAAGGCTCAATTAGGTAATGTATACTGCGGAATGGAACGAAAACAAATTTTGTAGCATGAGATTTGTGTGAATTGTATAACGTACAAACTAGATACAAGCCAAAAAGCAGATCGCGCTTCTTCCGGATAATTCCTGTAGTTACCGTATCGTATCTAGTTTGTGCGTTATCCAATTGGCATAAAGTTCATTATGCTATCGTACAATTTCGTTACAAAAATTCACTTCCTTTCCATTCTGCAGCAATTACAGGTCTTGTCAGTTTATGTAACTGGGTGACGGGCGTAGTGGCAGTGACCCTCAGATCTTTGTGATTAATAGCTCTGAGTGGCACTGGCCCACTACTTGTTCGTCCAATTACTTGATACCATTAAAAAAGCTATAAGAAAAGAAGATTTAAAAAAAACTATATTTAATTAACTGGGATTCATTATAACGAGACATGTCGATGCCTTACTTTCTCAAATTCGTATCTTCTAACTGTGCGAGTGATTATTCAGGAGATGGCAAAACTTTCTATTTATTTTAAATTTCTTATCAGGGGTGTTAATTTGGATGCATTACTTTAACAATAGGTAAAAGCTAGTGTGTAAATATGAAGGAAATGTGATATGAAATCAGCCTGTAAAATTTGTATATAATTACAATCCATTTTTTGCATTTCAGTAACTATGTTCTTTAAGATACTAGTTTGAAAAAGTAAGGCGACGATGTCGTCATTGATCGTTATATCCATTTACCAATTTGCATAGTCTTGTGATGGGAGAATTTTAACCGAAAACTGTTTTTCGAAGCCATGGAAGTAGAGGACTAACTTTGTTCCGAAGACGTTTTACTGGGACACGTATATTAAAATTGTATGTCTGGGAACAATATATTTTATGAGTACAAAATGGTAATACAAATTCCTCTAGGGAAATCATTCAGAAATGTGATTCTGAATAATGATTCAGTGTTAATAATTGTAACTTTTTATGTAAAAAAACCGATCTCAACAGTTTATGTAGTTACATATATTTGCCAAATTTTATTGAAATTTAGTGAAATCCAATAAACTGGATTCATCCCCTAATTTGCCACCCTTAGAGGTATAATTTTTTATCAACGGGACCGCTACTGACGAACACTCTTTCTAACAAAAAAATAATAATCGAAATTGTATACCGAATACCCAAATGCCGTATTAAGTGCGTCACATACACATACGGGTGAATTTCACTTTCCGAATTTCAATGGCACTTTTTGAGTCATTTTTATAAAACCCTTTTCTCTTTTGGTTTTAAGGTCTTAAAAGTACAAATAAGTTCAAGCAATGTCAATGAATATAAAATCACAGACATATTTAAGTTAAATACAACGAAAAAAAAACTATATTTTAGGTTACACGAATGAAATTGCAATAACACGAATGAGATTGCAGTAACACGAATGAGATTGCAGTAACAC